AAGGAGTTGGAATAGGGACAGGGAGGGGGCAGAGTTGGGGTGGGGACTTTGGGGAAGGAGTTGGAAGTGGGGGGGGGTCGAGCACCCACCAGTGAGAGCAGAAGGCGGCGCCTATGGTAATATTTATAGTCTTTATCAGTTCCCTAGGCCTATTCTGGCAGTTCTAGTTATTCAAACTTTTTCAATGTTTATCCTTTACCTCTGAACTTTTTCCCACTTGTCTTCTTACAATGTAATGCTGAAAACTAAATGCATTTCTCTGAGGCCTAAGAAGTACTTCATATACATCTAATCCTCCCATTACCACTACAATCCAGTATAATACATAATTGATCATTACACAAAACAGTCATTAGTGTTCTGTAACACATATGTTAATGATCCACAATAGATCCTTGCAGGAACCTCATTCAATATCTTCTTCCAACCTAACACTACAATAGTTACTCTGGGTTTACTGATTTATTAGCTAAAATATTACTTACTATACTATAATTCCAGCTAATCCACATTTCTTTAATGCTTTTTAAAAATGTTAAGGGGTAATGTAGCAAACACCTGACTAAAACTGAGATTCTGTAGATGGACTTGTCACAGTTTCAGAGTAACTGCACCTGTATTCTATCCTTCATGTTTCACTTCGGGAGTGCCCAGTCAGGTCTCAGGTCTGCAGCCATCACCAGTCTCTGTGTGGGGACCCTTGCCTCACTCCCATCTGACATGGAGTTTTAAGCCTGCACATAGCCCTGCCTTACACTGGGATAGCCCCAGCAAGCAAGTCTACCTAATGGCCAGCACCTGTAAAATTGATTTCTGTCTCCAAGGGCTATGAGCAGTGTATTGCCAGACATTACAAGTTACCACACAGCTCTTTCTAAGCAAGTACATTTATTTTTAAGGTGAAAGCATTACAGAGAAGACATAATAAAAAACAATAAACTGATTGAAACCCTCACTAAACATACCAGGAGCCACCCATCAGTCTTATGGGGCCCTAGTAGGCCAAAGTATTTCACATGGTTGGGGCCGCTCTGTATGGAAGGTCTTGTCCTTTTGCTGGATCAAAAAGAAGACCCTGAGTCAGTTCACACACAGCCTTTTTAAGCCAAAAATGCTTTATTTTCCTAGTCCCAGGAACCCAGTTTGAATCAGTATATGTGAACCTCCCCAAGGAGGTGATTTCTCTCTGGAGATTTTCAGTGAGTATTTCACCGTAATCACCCCCATACACACTGTTTTAATTCCTGAAGGAGCTCTGGTAACCCTCCCCCAGGGAGTAGAACATAATCACATTCCCTGTCCCACAGTGTTACATAAACATCATAAAATATGTTCCCCCCAAAGATACTGCATGTTGTTTAACTACCTAGCTTGCTCTCCTATCAAATAAATAAATGATTAGTTGTCACACTACAGAATAAATGAAAAAGTCTGTTTCATTCTGAAAAACTTCTGAAACTTGCCATTAGAATCCAATATTGGATGCTGTGCTGTGTTGTTTGTTTCCTTTTCCCCTCCAAAAATACATTGGCATTTAAATGTTACATGCTTGATATTAACATATTCTATAATGCTGTACTTGTGTTTCGAAACCTCTTCAAACATTAGTTTCAGTGCTTTGAAAAAGTAAAGCACTGTGTAAGTGCTAATTATTGTACTCAAGAGATTGCTGTTTTAGCGAGCTTGCACATTTGATTGAGGATTACTGTTTGATAGCAGTTTAATTTTTTCCCCCCCCTTGCAAGGCCCATTCAAACGGTGAAGTATTTGAAAGAGGATTGAATGCTTTGGTACAGCTGAGTGCCATTGTTGGCCCTGCTCTTAATGATCAGCTGAAACACCTACTCACAAGCGTAAGTACAAACAATTGACACAGTAACTGTGCCTCTTCATTTCTTATGTTACTTTTGTTTAGAGACTTCCTGTCATTTCACACAAAGATGATGGAACTTTCAGCTATTCCATGAAAGGCATTTCTTGATAAGCTTTAGCAGCGATCCATAGATTTATTTTATTATATGGTGAATTATAGTGCTCTAACATTCAGTATAGCTACTAGACCAAAAGAACAATTTGTACACTAAAACTCCCTAAAGACTGAGACAAATTAGTTAGTGTTTTGAAGAGACATTGTTTATTTATTATAAAATTACCTCTGAATTTTAAATATTAATATTTAGTAACAAAACCCATTAAAGTTGCTGTGATGGGGAGGACTAGGTCCGGAGGCCCCCTGCTGAAGGCCTTATGGCCCTGCCACACTCCACCCCAGAAAAGGGCAGTAGAGAGGTCCTCCCAGCTACCTAGAGTGGCTGTGTGGGAAGCAGCCAATCAGGGCCCAGCATGCATAAGAAGAGCTGCAGGGCCAGTGAAGGCCACGTGAATAAAGACACCCAACCACGAATGGCTGAGGCCCAGGTTATAGTTAAGGCAGAACAGAGGACCGTTGGGACTCCGTTTAGGACTTGGAAGGCTGCCCCAGGGACAGGTTTTTTTGTTTCCCCCCCCCCCCCATTGTGGGGAAATGGGCCACATAAGAAGGTATTGCCTCCCCCCCCCCCAAAAAAAAACCCCTCTAACTCAGAAAGGCAGTACTGGTACGATCATAGTCCTAGGACTCCCTGTAATTGGCAAACCTGGTAGACAAGGAAGAAGGATTGAGGCCCATGTGATAGAAATGGGAAAGCAGTTGTGGGTCTCGAACAACCCTTTTGTTGAAGGGAAGACCCAGCCTCCAGTGTCTGTCCTGAGGGAATGCACCTAATGTGTCGCAGGAACTGAAGCAGGGCCGGGGCCCTGAAATTACTCCTGTGGAGAAGAGCCCAATAAGAAGCTCTGAGGGACAGCAGGGTTCCCTGACAGGTGGTGTTGGAGACAGAGGGAAACCTGTTTCACAGAGCCTGGGAGCTCAGAGAATGACTGATGGTCAGGACCCTTGGTTGGGCACCAGGCACCCCTACAACCTGCAGAACAAGTTGAATGCTCTCTGGTATGAACTAAATAACAGGTTAAAGGCTTACGAGACCCAGGTCCAGGGAATAGAACAGACACGTTTTCAAATGGTGAAAGAGCTGACCAAGCAGCTGGGACAGACCAAGCAGGAGACAGCCAACCTTGAGAAGGTAAAGCTGGCACTGGCGACCAAATGTAAACAGGTATCCAAGGAAAGCAAAACGTGTCTGCTTAGTGAGCGAGACACTGGGTACACAAAAGATGATAGGCAGGTGAAGGAGGTGAGCTGAACTAAAACTTGGAGGAGGAGGACTCCAATCTAAAAGATAGACAGAAAGAGTTGGAGCATCTCCTTGTTTTGGAGAGGGAATGCTCTGCCTATTATAGAGACCAGTGGACCCATACAGAAATAGAGGTACATGAGAGAGAAACTCTCTCCTTTCAGAATTCTGAAAGAAAGGCAGCAGCAGAAGCTGAATCTAGAAAGGACCCGGCAAGCCTTTGAGGAGCAGCTTACCATACTGGGAAAAAAGCCAGAGACTAAGGCCAGAGAGTACCATGAGGCTTGTGTGGATACCAGTGGGTTGGTTGATGGGCTAGGCACCCAGAAAGGCCTCACGAAAGGAGTGGGTATCAGTCTAATAAAGAAGCAGGTGTCCTGTGGCACAAACACTAAGTTCCCATGTACAACAGTGCTGCAATAATGGCAATAGCCCCCTCAGCTACACAGTAAGCCTCTACTGTAAAGGACTGGGGTAAGCTAGAAGAGAAGGCTGCTATGGCTGATCGGAATCAGGCTGAAATCCTGGAACTACGGATACAGGTAGCTCAATACTGGCAGGATCTGGAAGAAATCTGCTCTTCGTGGGAAAGGATTGTAGGGCAAGCAGTAAAACAGGAGCAAGAGCTGACTCATCTCAAAGTTGAAAACGAAACGGCGGACCAACGGTGCTTACTGCTGCAAAAGGAGCTGACCAAGCTCCAAAACCTGATCAAGGTCCAGCCAGGGTCAAAGTCCAACTCGGGTAAGGAGAAAGCTGGAGTTTTGTGGACTGACGCCAGTACAGAAGGAAGATGGCTTGGATAGGGACATACACTCACCTGCCGAACCATGGATCTAAAAACCCAGGATCATGATATAGTGGCAAAGCAGGGCAACAACTGGACCTCTGCTAAAAAGAAGAGTTCTTCTCAGAGGAAAAAGGAAGCTAAAAATGGTCCTAACCTGCTGAATATCATCCACACAATAGTGTGGGTACAGAAAGAACAAAAGTAGGTGTTGCTAAGCCAGGTATTGAAAGCAGTGGGAAAAACAGTACAGTCCCTGATCTTTGGAAGTCCTGGAAGGGATCTTAACCTGGATAGAGAGATCCTTAACTCTGAAGAGTGTACGTGCAGATGAATCCAGAAGGATTCCTCTCCAGATCAGGAGGCCACAGTAAGAGTTTTTATTTCTGGAGAAATCCCAGCTCTGTTAACCAGCCTACAGGCTTTTACCATCTGAACACCCCACGTGATAAATTCTGACATGCCACTGATTATGGAGGGTTACATGCACTGTATGGGGTACCTACAAAAAGGGGGGGCCCGGGCTGTGGTCACTTTGTATTTCTCTGAGGAAGATAAGGGTATTGCCAAAGACCTGGTGGTGGACTTCCTAATGTAAGCTAAACAAGAAGCCCCCCCCCTCCTCCCTTGGCTGAGAAACATGGCTAAAGGGTACCTTTGGTCAAGCCCACCTTTGAGATAGGTTTGCTCTGAATAGAAGGAGCTCCCAGAGAGCCTGAACAATGAAAACCTCTCCAGACAAAGAGGAACCCTGATTAACTGGGGCAATGAGATGTTAAAAGCTCTCCAGGTAGAGAGGACTGGGAGAGCAACCCTGATAGACAAGGGCAGAGACTACCATGAATAGCTCTCCAGGTAGAAAGGCCTGAGAGGGAACCCTGCTAAAAAGGGGACAAGGATTATAAAAGCTCTCCAGGTAGAAAGGCCTGGGAGAGAAGTATTCTGAGGAAGCAGGGCAAAATTAATAGGTGTGTTGCAGAGCTACTTAAGGAAGGAGCCTGAATTGGAAAATCTCTCCAGGTAAGAGAGGCCTGGGAAGGAACCCTGACCAAAAGAGGCAAAGATTATAAAAGCTCTCCAGGTAAATAGGCCTGGGGGAGAAGATCTTGAGCAATCAGGGCAGAAAGTGAATAACTCTCCAGGTAGAAAGGCCTGAGAGGGAAGAGACAGATCCATTGGGGTGAGAAACTGCCAAATCTCTCCAGGCAGAGAGGCCTGGCAGGGAAACCTGAGAAACCAGGGCAAGGACTACTAAAGTTCCCTGTTTTTCCCCACTGTGTAAGAGGCCAGGGAGGGAGAGCCCTAACAAACAAAGGGGCACAGACAAAGGAACTCTCCAGACTAACTATTTCATATTCCTCTTGGTACCCTTGTTTTGCATCAAAAATAGTTGCAAACAAATATAAAAGCTGTCTGTCTTCGGATTTTATACTGCTACCCGTCATTGCAATAACTGAGCATTTTCTGCAAAGCTATGTTTTTCGTTACAAAAAACTTCGTTTTCCCCTTTTGCTTTTGACCATGTGTCTTACTTTGGAATTACCTACTATGCATAAAGTAATGAGTCTTTTTGCTTTTATTTTCCTGAATTAAGGTGAAGCAGTATTCTAAAGCAAAAGTAAATGTGGTTGGTTTTCATACATTGTACTTCAATCATTTTCTTTCCAAGTTATATTTATATTTTATTTTTTCCAATAGATTTCAAAGAGGTTAATGGACAAGAAATTCAAAGAGCAGATCACTGTTGCGTTACAAAAGCTAGAGCAGTATGGTGGAAAGGTGAGTTGAACAGATTATTCTCTGCATTTTACATTTTGTTAGAAAATATAAAAACATACTTGAATTTAAATCATGTCAAGAAAACTTTTGAGTTCAAGTCTCTGAATCCTTCAAATTAGAGCTTTGATCCTGCAAACACTTATATATGTGCTTAACTCTATATGCTGTGACTACTCTATATGTAAAATGCAGCATATGTGTAGATTTTGCAGGTTTGGGGCCTAGTGGTGTTGTGTATTGATTCATAATGTGAAAATAGCTTTATTTTCCTGTATATGAATGGTGACCTAGAAAAGAAATAGAATCTACTTCATGTAATACATAGTCACTTATAGCCTTTTATTTTACATTTCTATAGAGAATACTTTTTTATTTTAAATTATTGTCATACATCCCCACACTAATTTCTTGTGCTCCTTTGTAAGAAACGTAGGCGCACACCTTAACATGACATTCTAAGGATCCACACCTACATAGGGATCCATACAGCAGGCCTCTTACTCTCACGCTAAGTCCCATTCAATGGGACTCCATTGAGAAGTAAGTGCCTGTCCACACAGATGCCCTTTGCAAGATAATTGTCTAAAACATTAAACTGTTTCTGCTAGGAGGTGTGTGCATACTTACTGGTGAGATGGAACATTTGCTATTCTTTTCCTCCCTAGACACCAGAAGAGCTCTATAGTTCTACTTTCAGGGCTTGAAATTTGTGAGGAAAAAAGTTTATCTACTGCAGTGACATGTAATGTTTTTAAAATACTGGCTTTAGTTAACCTAAAGTATTTAAATGTCCGACAGTAAGCATCAGTTTGATCCAAGTTCCATTTCTATTAACATTTTGTCTTCCCAAACAAGCAAGATTTTTTCTAAAGCAATAATAAAACAATTACTAAGAAATACTAAAATTCTGTATATAAAAAGTAAGAGATATTGCATATATCTGATACATTTTTGAGAGTAGCAGCCATGTTAGTCTGTATCCGCAAAAAAGAACAGGAGTACTTGTGGCACCTTAGAGACTAACAAATTTATTAGAGCATAAGCTTTCGTGGACTACAGCCAACTTCTTCGGATGCATATAGAGTGAAACATATATTGAGGAGATATATATACACACATACAAAGAGCATATACGTTTTTGTATTCTACTTTCTGATTTCCAGTTCTTCTTTTGTCCTGTTTTCTACCCTCTCTTCCTGTTCCCTTTTCGTAAGAGAAATTCTCTTTACCAACCATTATTGAACCCTTCTTTAAGTTCTCTCACTCCTCCCTTGTTGTCTTTAAATTATCTCCTAACTCTTATCGAGGATTAATTCTGCCTTTGTCAAACACACGGCTTTTATTGATTTAATTGAGAATTACATTTGTAAGAAGGCTTTCGAATTGGGCATTTGATTTTCTTTCATTCTTTTCTTCCCCCCCCCTCCACCCCTTCTTGGGTACTCGCTTCAAATATTGAAGAGGAAAATAATGATGCCCTGTAAACGGTATTATTTAAAAACAATTTTCCCAGCAGGACACGTGATCTATGGAATTTTTAAATCCTGTATGTTTTCTCTGTGTGTGCGAGAGCCTTTAAAAAAAAAAAATAAAATTTAGAGTGAGAGCAGCAAGAACTTAGCAGTAGTTAATAGATAACCCACAAGTCAGTGGTACATAAAACCTACCTCTCCCATCTATTTTCTTCTGTTATTTTATCATTTCTTTGCATGGTTTTTTTAAGTTATTTGTCTGTTACTTTTCCTATGAGAGAGAGATTTGATCTCTCTCAAAATATTTAATGTTTTTTTTGGTCTTCAACTCTCTTTTAATAGTTTAGTTTGTATGATGGGTGTTTAGATATGTATAACTTTAAGGAAATGTTATAACTCAGATACTTCCCTTAGTTGCCTTCAGAACTAAGTGCTTCATACTGTGTAAACTTCATTTTTATCAACAGGAGAGTGTTGCTATCATCAAATCTAAAATTCCAACCTATTGTTCCATCTCCTCGTGAACGAGAGACTCCTCTAGTCATTTACACTGCATGGTGTGGTTGTGGGCGTCAGAAGCTGACTGTGGATGCTGTTGGAATTTCCTTATGGTACAATTTATTCTAATAAAACTAACCACAAACATTCTGTAATCTGGTTTGGGAGAAAAATGAAGATTAAGTGAATTGTGTCCATAATATCTTGTAATTATGGCAAACAGTTATATCATTGTTATTATATAAATCTATTTGTGTATCCAGTCTTATGTTTACAGTTAGTCATTTATTGGTTATCTACCATTCATTGTTTCAGCTGTAAACAAAGTAAATGTTAATTCATTTTTGCTGTACATTCCTATTTTCTTAAATAATTCTGCCACACTTACGGTGTTATCAAATGTTACATAAAAGGTAGAATTTGATTGTAATTATTAATTAAGCAGTAACTAACTCCCTGCTAAAGTGCATATACATATTTATTTTACATAGGTAAAACTTGCAATGATTTCTTTCCATGATGAGTGTTAGAGATGAAAATGTGTGTTCTGTTACAAAAGAACTGATTTAAAACTAGTTGTATAGTGTTGCTCTAGTAGTGTAAAATAATCAGGTGTTGATATTGGAATACTGTTTTTCATATTCCATCCCAGTAACCCTTTATTTTGAAAACTGTCACATTGGGAACTTAAATCTTAGCACAGTACTGAATTAACAGTTTAATACTTAATTCAGATGTGTGTATTGAAACAGTAAATCCATTTGGTTAAAGAAATGCCTGTAGTCTAGTATTTTTTCAAAAAACAAAAACATTCTGCTTGTTTTTTCTTTCTTGTATTTTATTTTTATATATATAATTTTTTTTATTTTTATTTTTTTACAAAATGTGCACATTTAGTTTACACAAACACACTACAGCAAATTTCAGGTGTACATGTATTGTACTACTCTTATTCCTACACTGGTGATAGCAGAGCAGCCTTCAACATTCCATCTCTACACCAGAATAGATACCTGATTTATTTTTGCAAAATAATAGTTGCAGCATTCTTTCTACTCCAGTAGCCTCTTCACATCTTTTGTGCAGAAATGTCACAATAAAGATTGGCATATCTTCAGTAGCATTTCAAAATATTGGCCTGGAATCACTGAAAACAATAGTATAGTAATTTTGATCTCTTAATTGTGATGGGGGAAAGATAATCCATTTTAATCTTTCACGTCTGTGCACTTATGTTTTTTTAGGTCCAGAATTAAAGCTGTTCCTACTTTGACAGAATTAATGTTCCTCAAAAATGTAATAGTAGTACTGCTTATAAACAACATTGGTGAATAGCTAAAGTTTCTGCTTCTTTTTCACTCCCTTTTCATAGTAAACAGACCACTGATACAGATATTAGACTGTCTAGATATTACTGCATTCTGAGCACTGAAGTGAGATGGATGCTTCAAAAGACCATTATCTCCTTTTTTCCTCAGTAAAACCGGTAAGACACGTACTTCTGGAAATAATGGTAGAATTAGATTTTCTTCACAAAGAAATTTGAACTCAGAACCTTTTCAGGTCCTTAATTTTGAGCAGAAAACTTTACTGACAGTCCAACCCGAATTACACATACAATATATAGGACTTCAGGTACTCATTTCATGAAAAATTCATAAATGCAGATTTATTAGGTAAGGATGATCTATTTAATACCTATCAGTGTTATATGTCTATCTGAGTCATTAAATTTTTTATTATAAAAAAGATTTCTTCCTCTTATGTAAATTAGCTGGGCTTCAGTAAAAGAGGAAAGAAGGCCAAATAAAATTGGATGTTGTTACAGGAGATGTATTGCTCATCAACTGTACCAATCTTTACTCAAAGTATTATGTAAAAATGAGTATTACACCATACAAATGTGAAAAAGAAATACAGGGTGATTTCTCTGTAAAACAGAGGCTGATACTTTTTAAGGATTTTTAAGACACTTAAAATTCTGGGGCTGAATCCATAACAAACAAGTATCAAAAACAGCTATTTCTGATCTCCTTGTGTTAAAGCCTCTTGTATCTAGGGGTTGGAATGGTAATAAAGCTGTATAATGGCAGATGCTATGCTATTTTTGGGAGTTGTGGGGTAAAACCTAATATTTTTAGAATATCCCATTGGATAAAGGACAAATTATTACATCCTAACCTTTGGGAGGAATGCTTTATAATAAAACAAAACTTATTTGCATAATACGTGTCTCAGTGTAAAGCTGAGCAATCCTACATATGGTAAATGTGGCAAATCCAGCTTTAAGTAATGTTGCAGAATAGTTCACATTTGTCCATTAATTGCAGAGTAAACCACATTGTTAAATCACATTTTCAAAGAGCTGCATGGAACGCATTATGTTTTCATCCTGTAAGAAGAAAAAAAATACATCAGATTATTTTAAGAGTATAGAGGGAAAAAGTGGGTAGAAGTCACTAATGTTAGTTACTGACAGCAGCAACTTGTTTGGAAAAATTAATAAGTGATGATAAAACTTAACACTGAAACTGGTAGTGATTTGAGAAAAAAATTCCAAAACTATTAATAAATAGTTACTGAAATTAAAAAAAATTAACTGAAAAGAGCATATTCAGTTCATTTGTGTTTTTGTTAATCATTCTGTAAAACAGTCTACACTGTTTTGGAGGTAATCAATTGATCTTTTGATACTCTGTAAAAAATAGTATATAAATAAGTGGTAACTTCATATGTGCAGTTTGAGTACAGTCAATAACTTCCATATATTTGAAATTGTTGCCTGGCACAGTATATTCTCCCCAAAAAACCCTTTGGCATTGTAGAGGACTATTTTGTAGATTGAAGAACAATTTAAAACTGAATCAGCACATGCATGCATCACTGTGTGAACTAAGCATCTTGATGATTCTCTCAAATACATGGTTAAAATTGTTGGCTCCTCAGCTCAGATTTTTCCCCACTGGCAGTACAACATAGTGTTCTCTGATTCTACTTGTGTGTGTTGATATTAAATTTAATCCATTTTTATTTAAACTTTTAGAGGTGCCTTTACACAGTTATCTTTCTCAGAATCATCAAAATGTACTGGTCATCCCACACTAAATAAATATACATAATAATGATGAAGACTCTCAGCAGTTACAATAAAACTACCCCTTAACGTCCACCGCTCAATACCTAAGAAAATAATTCAGTCATGTATTTGTCCAACTTTTTGGACCAAAGGAAGAGTGAATTTAAGAGTAGAGAGTATCTC